GAGCCATCATCTGCTGCATTCCAGACACATTAGCAAGAAGCTGGATCAGAAGCAGAGCAGCCAGGACTTGAACTGGTGCTCTGGTCTGGGATGTCGGCATCATAAGTGGTGGCTTAACCCACTGTGCCACAACACCAGCCCTGGATATGTAGTTTCTGCTGCTGTAAACTGCTTCAGTGAGTGTTTTTGCACATCTTGTACAAATTGGGAAAGTGTCTCTAAGGAATAGCCTAGGGTTTTAATTGTGGATTCTAAGGTATGCATCTCAAGCTTACTGGAAGTTGCAAAGTCACACCTCATGATTTTAGATTATTAATACTTCTTAATGATGTTAAGCTTTTCTGTCTGTAAACATAATTTATCTTGCAGCTTATTCAGGTCTTTCATGTTTTTAAATAAAATTTCATGATCTTAAAATAATGATCTTATACCTCTTGCTAGATTCGTTCATAAGTGCTGTTTTTAAAATTACATGTTCTAATTTCTTATTACAGATATATAGAAACATAATTAATCTCTGTGTACTGATGTGCTATCCAGGAAGCTTGCTGAACTTTCTTATTAATTCTGATGGTCTATATTATCTTAGGTTTTTTTCCTGTGTAGGCAGTCGTGCCACTACTGTGTAGGAACAGTATTGGATTACTTCTTCCTTTCCAATGCTTATGCTTCCTGTTCTAATTAGGACACCCAGCGCAGTGTTTAAGAGAAGCCACAGAGTTCTCTTGTTATGGACATGAAGTCCTAACATTTCACTGATAAGGAGCAAGGGCGCAGTAGGTGTTTAGAAGACACCTGTGCCTGGTTGAGGACACTCCTTTCCCTGGTTGACCTTGTAGATAAACCTCAGTTCTACTTCCTCCTAATGAGCAGCAGCTGGACAACCAAACCCCGTGTTTCTCAGCTCCCTTCACACACACGAGCTGGTGTCCACTAGACAGGGAGGTTTGAGTTAGGAGCTGACCTAAGTGGAGGGAGAGGCAGGCCGGGAAGCATCCACTCTGCTGGTGCGATCATGGTGGAGGCCGGGCGGCTGTAGGGCCAGCCCGTGCAGCTGCAGTTTCCACGTGTCCTGCAGGGAGCTTCCCAACTGCCGCATAGCTTTGGGAATCATTCCTCAAGTTTCCTCACCCCTCGTGGTAGTTAGGGTAAACGATTTAATGCTGTAGGAAGTAGCTTTCTGCCCCTGCCCACTCCGCTCCCCCTTCCACCTTCATTATCTGCACAACCAGTGAGCACCTGCTTAGTACTTCCCACGGTCTGCTGTTGGCACTCCCCTGGCTGTTGTGGCTGCAGCTCTCCAGCAGGTACCTCCGGAAGGTACCGGGCCGGTATGCCCTGGGTTTTGCATGTTGGTAACAGCTTGTGCCCGTGCAGTTTTTGCACTGGGAGGAGGAGTCTCGATGGGGACACTTCCACCCCTCACAGGTCCCTCCATTCTGTGGCTTTGGTCCTTTCTGAGATTGTTGTGGATTTATTTTTCCTTCCCACCTTCATTTGTCTCCCCGTGCTGTCCTTATCCTGCTCCTTACAGTTCCTCAGTGTGGGGGTCCTGTCCCCTACGGGAACCCTAGAGCGTGGCTGTTGGGAGCTCCTGGGGCTCCAGTCCTTTCAGACCTTCCTGCGGGGGCCCCCGTTACTCACCCGCTGCTGACGTGGCTATCTCTTCCCAGCCTGCACTGCTCTTCTCAGACGTGCGCCAGGCTCTGCAGTGAGAGTGTCTGTGGGCTGTGTGGGGCCCGCCTGGCGCTGGGGGGTCAGGTGCCTGGGGCTTCCCTGAGCTGCTTTCCACAGGGAGGCTGATGCCTGGCACGTCTCGTGGCTCTTGGTTTCTCCTCACATACTTGTGTTTTGGGATTTGTGGATCTTACCTGGTTTTGTTACAAGTCCGTAGCATTTTTGGTTTTGCTATCCAGTTTCTCTATTTATTTTTGTTTTTGTTTTTGTTTTTCCCCTCTGTTTTTATTGTGGAGCTTCGGAAATACCCAAAGCCTGTGCTTCCACACCACACTCATCTTTTTAGAATTTCCCACCACTAACTTTGACATGTACCCTTGAGTAAAAGGTTGGGGTGCATGTCTCTCTTCGCTCCTCCTGAATACTTTATTTTTTAAAGATTTATTTTTATTTATTTGAAAGAGTTACAGAGAAAAGTAGAGCCAGAGACAGAAAGGTCTTGCATCTGCTCGTTTACTCCCCAAATGACTGCAATGGCTAGAGCTGAGCTGATGCGAAGCCAGGAGCTTCTTCCGGGTCTCCCAAGTGGGTGCAGGGGTTCAAGGACCTGGACCATTTTCTACTGCTTTCCCAGGCTGTAGCAGAGAGCTAGAAATGGAAGTGGAGCAGCCGGGACTTGAAGTGGTGCTACAGGCCAGGACTGTAAGCCACTGGGCCACAGTGCCGGCCGGCCGAGTACTTAGACTTCTTTTCCATACCTTACTATTTCCTGTTTCAGAGACATCTCCTTCCTTTTTAATCTCTCAGCATGGAGATTGTTTTTGTCCATAAATTCAGTATTTTTAGGGTCTCTTCTAGGTTTAATTACTCTGTTTCTGGAAAAAACAGAAGCAATTTAGCAGTTATTTTAGTCAAGGTCGAATAGTTGTAAACTTTCAGGATTTGTCTGAAAATGTTTAATTCTGTCCTCCCCTGGTGTGTTATTTTAGCTGTCTGTATGAAAGTATAGACTGCCATTTTCTCTCATTTGCAAGAAATTGTCTTCTGGTGTTTCGGAAAGTCTGTTGTCAGTCTAACTATTGCCTCTAATTATTTGAAGGCAACCTGCCCTTTCTGTGGTTACTTTGTGGGTCTCTCTGGCTTAAGCACTCCGTAGTTTGATCACCACAGCCTGGGTGTAGGATATTTTATCATGATTACAAGTCACTCCCCATTCTCCTCCACCTATTCAGCCCTCGCAGCCACTGATTTATATTCTGTCTGTATGGATTTGCCTGTTGTCGACATTGTGCATGAAAACACACGATGTGCCCTTTAAATCAAGTGTGTATGTCAGAAAGTGGTGGGAAAGAAGGGTGTGACCGTGGAAGCACAGTTTTGGGGTCTTTACTAATCCCCACATAAACACAGAGAAACTAGATACAAACCCCCCCAAAAAACTATAGACAATGTTTATAACAAAACTAGGTGATGTTTTGTGTTTAACTCTGGCTGGGTGTAATGTGTGTGTTTCATTTGTATTGCAGTATGAATCAGCACTTCATTCCCATTTATTGCTGAATAATAGGGAAAATTCTTCCTTGAAGGAGCCAAGATAACAAATATAAGAAAACAGGTAGAGTCAGTAAAGCAGTATTTTGCAGCCCCTAACACAATAATAGATCGGTGATGTTTACAATTACCAGTGGGTGTTTGAAAGCATTAGGTGGGAGAGAATGTTGATGGGGAAGCTATAAAGTGGATGAATCAGACCATTGAACCTTGAGCCCACTGATCCATCTTGAAATTCATGAATCATTAAAAGTGAGACTACTGTATATTACGGGCTCTCTAAAAAAATCCTATGAAAGACTTTTATATTTTCCAGAATCTAATCAAGCCTCGAGTTAACTTCCAGTTAACAGGAACCCAGAGTCAGAGGAACAGGTTACACAGCCACCACAGAAATCCAAACATGTGACCGTCTATAGGACAAATGACCCAATGGCCTTAGCAAAGAAAGGACACAGAAAAGAGGGAGGGGAACTGCTTTAGGTTAAAAGACATGAGAAACTTCACCAAATGCAGTGTATGAATCTTGCATGGATTCTGATCAGAACAAACAGACTAAAGAAAAGACATATTTGCGACAGTTGGAGAAATTTGAGGATGATTGAGTTTCAGATGATGTTAAGAAATGACTGTAATTTTGTTAAGTGTGATAATGGCATTATGATTATGTTTCAAAGAACATTCTTATCAGTTAAAGATGCACTGAAGTATTTACAGGGGAGATGATAGCTGTGTGGGATTTACTTTAAAGTACCAGCAAACAAAGTGGGTGTAGGGAGAATTCAATGAAATAAGATTAGCCACAAGTTGACAGCTGTTGAAACTGGATGTTAGGTTCATCTCCTCTTTAGTGAATGCTTGAAATTTTCCAATTTTTTTTTAAAGAGTCTTAGGTCCTTAGAGTCACAAAGAAATTTCACAGAGATACAATTTGTCAGAAATGTGTACTTTGCTCAGAAAAATACTCAGACTGATGATTCTTCTTTTCTCAAGTGTGGAAGATGTATGTTGGTCTTGTTGATTGATGAGTTCTAGAGTTTTCTACTAAAGACAAAGGGAAGGCTTTCAAAAGAAGGCAAGTGTTGGCAATAGAAATGCCAGGAGTGAAGCAAGAGTAGTATCAGAACATGAAACATGTGTGACCACATGTATGCCAGGAGTGGAGTAAGAATAGTATTAGAACATGAAACATGTGTGCCCACATGGAAATGCCAGGAGTGGAGCAGGAATAGGATCAGAACATGAAACATGTGTGCCCACATGGAAATGCCAGGAGTAGAGTAAGAATAGGATCAGAACATGAAACATGTGTGCCCACATGGAAATACCAGGAGTGGAGCAAGAATAGGATCAGAACATGAAACATGTGTGCCCACATGGAAATGCCAGGAGTGGAGCTGGAACGCAATCAAAAGATGAAGCATATGTGCCCACCTACAGATGTGTGCTTAAAGGTTTTTTTCCCCAGGCCTCCATTTCTGTGACAAATTCTCATGAGTGTTCACTGTGTACTTTGCACTTCTTTCAAAGGCAAAATCCTGCCATGGTTAGTAGTTCGGAATGGGACAGACCTATCTGTCACCCATAAACTACAGTGATGGGGGAATAATTTACCTAAACTTTTGGAACCTTGATTTCTTCAACTGTGTAATGGGCATAGTTAATTACCCACTTGATGAGTTGTGGGAGGATGAAATGACCCTGTTTTGCATGTGGCGAGGTTTAAGTCGTCATTTACTTGGCAGACTGAGTGTCCATGAATCCTAGGTGGTGAGTGTATGGGAAATCCAGAAACCCATGCACAGGACCACATGAAGACGGGTGCCTCTTGTCTCCTTACACGCTACACAGCAGTGATCCGCAGCCTCCTGTTTTGCCATGAGGGCTCATTCCCCTCAGTGAATTTGTACAACATTCCTGTTTCCTGCAGGTGCCTGCTCAGAGGTGCAGTTCCAAATATTTGTCTCTTTTCCCTTTGGACTTCATTGTTCTGCTCATCCTCCCACCAAGGGAAGACAGTGAGATGTGAAAACCAGGCTACAGGTCTTTTCACTGGGTGGGGAAGGCACTGCCAGATGCCAGCTGGGCCACACAGGTGAGTAGGTTTCTGCCATGTGCTTGAGAGAGAGCCTGAGTGTACCTGAGTGTGCCATAAGCAAGGAGGTGTAAAAAAAAAAAAAAAAAGGAGGTGGAGGTGTAAAAGGCACACTTCTGGGTCAGACCCTTTCACTAGAGTTTGGCTTCGCACATATCTTTGGAAAGTCATCTCACTTCGTAGATCCTCAGTTTTCTCATCTGTAACGTGGAAGTCTCTGCTTTCCCAGTTGTGTGGGTCAGAGGAGACCATGGTGTTGTGTTTGAGCAATGGAAGGGCATGCAAGTCTTGGCTGAGGTTTTCTGGAGAGAGTGCGTCAGGCTCCTGTTGGCATCCCAAGAAGCCCTCCTGTCAGAACAAGCTGGGAGTGGCCCCTGATGGGTTCTAGATGCCGAGTGGCTTTGGCAGCTCTGTAGGCTCTCCTGAGGCAAGAGCTGGGTCTAGGAGGTGCTTGCCCCTGTACCTTTGTTTTCTTTTTAATTAGTTAATTTGAAAGCAGCGTTAGAGAGAGAGGTATCTTCTATCTGATGGTTTATTCCCCAAATGGCTGCAACAGCCAGGGCTGGGCAAGACTGAAGCTGGGAGCCTGGAACTCCACTTGGGTCCCCCATGTGGGTGCAGGGGCCCAAGTCCTCAGAGCCACCCTCTGCTGCATTTCCAGGCACATTAGCAGGGAGCTGGACCAGAAGTGGAGTAGCTGGGACTCCAAGCGGTGCCAATGCAGGATGCCAGCATCACAGGCAGTACTTAACCTACCATGCCACAACATGGTCCCTCACCACTGTGTCTTGTTATCCTCTCTGTGCTACTCCTGGGCCCAGCCAACCAAGTGTCACAGGTCCACACTGCAGTATCCCTCAAGGAAGGCAGGAAAGCCCTAGTCAGCACAGAGAAGCCGAGAGGGTCATGGCCCTGGCACCTTCATAAAAGTCCTTACTGGGATCCGAAGTCATGCCAGCCAGTATTCCTGGTATTTGGATATGTTATGAACAAACCAGTCATGGAGTTGGTAAGCAGGGAGGAAGTCCCCTAGGCATTGCCTGTGTTCGGTCCAGCCAAGGTCTCTGGAACCTCATCAGCGATGGCGATGTCTGCATGCCTGGGTCATGCAGTGCTTAGCAGCCATGCACACTGCTGAGTAAGGGCTCCCTTTGCGTCTTCCCAATGGCAGATGAGGGACTGCATTTTTAATTTTATTTAATTTTAATTAAGTGTAAATAGCTATATGCAACTGGTAACCACCATATTGGATGGTATTGGACAGTGCTGCAAACATTCTGAGAAGGTCAGAGGGTCACCTAGCAGGCCAGAGGCTTGACCATCTCCTTGAGAAAGAGCTCTGAGGCTCTAAAGATCTGTCCCAGCTCTGTCTCTCACTGTGTGTGGACTTTTGATTTTTTAAAGATTTATTTATTTATTTGAGAGGTAGAGTTACAGGCAGAGAGAGAAAGGTCTTCCATCTGCTGGTTCACTCCCCAGATGGCCGCAACGGCCAGAGCTGGGCCGATCCGGAGCCAGGAGCTTCCTCCTGGACTCCCACATGGGTGCAGGGACCCAAGCACTTGGGCTATCTTCTACTGCTTTCCCAGGCCACAGCAGAGAGCTGGGTTGGAAAAGGAACATCTGGGATCCTAACCAGCACCCATATGAGATGCCGACGCCACAGGTGGAAGCTGAGCCTACAATGCCACAGCACTGGCCCCTTTAATTTTTGTTTTCTTATTAGAGACAGAGAGAGAGAGAGAGAGAGAGAAAGAGCTCCCACCTCTGGTTCATTTCTCAGATGCTCACAGCCACCAGAAATGGAGCTGGGAACTCAGCCCAGGTCTTCCACAGGGTTGGCAGGACCACAGTTACTTGAGCCATCACTGCTGCCTCCCAGGGTCCACATTAGCAGGAAACTGGAGTCAGGAGCCGAGGCTGAGTATCGAACCCAAGTACTCTGATAAGGCACACGGGCATCTTAATCACTAGACCATGTGCACTAACTACAACACTTGGCCTCCCCTCTGTTTAATTTCTCGATTGACCTGTAACACGGGAACAAAGGGAGGCTTGCATTAAATTCTTTTCACTACTAAATTCTTGACTCTATTGTGATTTGCTTTTTATTTGAGAGATTATTAGTTTCCTGTGACTACTGTAACAGAGTACCATAAATGTGGTTGGCGGAAAACAAACCAAAAAAAAAAAATGTGTCTTTCAGTTTTGAGAGTCAGAAATGTGAAACTATTTTCTTGGGCTGAAATTGTGGTGTCAGCCAGGCAGTGCGCCCTGTGGGTCCTCTAGGGAAGAATCCGTTCTTCACCTGTCCCAGCTTCTGGGGGGCTTCCAGGTGCCTTGGCTTGTGGCCCCATCCCTCCCCCGTTTGCCTCTGTGGCCACGTGGGCTTGTCCTCTTCTTTGTTTGATCTCTCTCATAAGGACACTTGTGATGGCATTTGGAGCCCCTCTGTGTAATCCAGGATAATCTGCCCATCTCAGAATTTTTGATTTATTGACACCTGCAAGATCTTTTTCCCATATATGGTAACATGAGCAAGTCCTAGAGTTAAGACCTGGTGTCTTTGAGCTCATGATTCAACCTGCTACATCACAGAGGATTTATTTATGGTGGAATTGCTTTAGTTCAAATGCTGTGGCTATGTCATCAGGTGTGTGGGAGTTGCTGTCTGCCCACCAGGCTTTCCCAGAAAGAATTTTCTCTATGTTCTGAATGGGCCCTGAGTTTGGGGTGGGGGAGACCACTCATTTCCCTGTTCCAACAAGAATTACTTTGATTTGTTGCGGTCCATTCATCTTCACTAAAAGGTTGATTAACTTGTGAATGTGCCCCAAAACCTCATCTACCAGACTTGAAATATTCCCCACCTCTCCCCAATCTCCAACATGTGTTTCCATGTGTGTCGCACGTGCAGTTGAAGTCAGCACGTGCTGAGAGGAGGAAGCATTCCTTTGATCAGCTGGGTAGTGAGGTTTCTTCGGTCGGGCCCTCAGAAATTTGAAAATAGGGAGGCTTGGGCCTGATGCAGCCCAGGAGCAGCTCTGACTCTGACTCTGCGTGTCACGTGGTGCTGTCGCCTCGCCAGGCCTGAGAGCAGCGGAGGGGCAGCAGGTGTGGTAAACATTGCTAGAAGCTTCCCCGTTGCAGCAGAAAACGGATGCCAAGTGTTTTCATCAATATCGATGTTCAAGTTATTGCAATGTTGTGGGGCTGGCGAGAGAGCAGTGGGGGAAAGTGTCCTTGAAGATTTGAGTGAGGGGTGTGTTACCTGAAAGACTTTGATTTTTGCAGAAGAGGTCTAAAAATGTAATTTACAGTGTGAGTCACAACATTGTCTTACTCAACCAGGGGACCAGATGACTTAGAGGCAGAATACAATGACTTCATTTGCGTCTCTTAAGAACACGATGTTCTTTCCGTCTGCGCCTGTCCTTGGTTGAAAGGCTGAACATCTGGTCTGTTCCCCAAGGTGGCCAGTGGCTTTATTTCAGGCCGTTTGTCTGGGGTTACTTTTCAAAGAATTAATAATGATAAAAATGCGTGTGCACTAAGTGCCAGGCACTGTACCTGTGCTTTACTTCATTATCTCAGTTAATCCTGATGTTACCCTGTAGGGTTAAGTATCATTATCCCCATCTGGTAGATGGGCAAGCTGAGGTTTGGAGAAGTTTCGCCACTTGCCCAGAGTCTCTTAGCTGTAGATGTCAGAACTGAGGTTTGAACCCAGAGCCCAGCCCTTGATCATGGGCCCTCCCCTCTGATTAAGACTGAGCACACTGGCCTCTTCTTTCTTGAAAGCCGTGTCACTAACTGCTCTGGTGAGTTTTGTATGAGGCTTTGGCTGCTTTGCAGCCTGTGAGCTCTAATGTAATTTTTAAACTGTGATTCTGTCTCCTGCAACCCCCTCATTTTTCTGAATGGGAGGTGAGGCAGGGTTCGATAGCTTCCCAGGAAGAGACCAATTAAGGTGCCCACATCTAGAGAAAGATCTCCCCGGCTTTCTCACAGGGATGTTTTTCCATCGGAATCCTGTTGTGGTTTTGACTGATGAGTTGACACTTTGTTTTCAAAATGTGCTTGTGGCTTCCACTTGAGTTCTATGAGCTGGTGCAGAGACCACTGGACAAGTATTTGCCAAGCTCAACAAGTATTTGCTCCCAGTGTGCACCTGGGCCAGCGCTACTGTCAGGGAAACCTGTGTGGACATGTCTGGCCTCCCAGAACCCAGCGTTTCTGGTGAAGCTCTCCTGTCTTGGACTTTGAGACACTCAACTGATGGGGCTGCCAGCCTTGGAATGCGACCCTCCAAAACTATCAGTTGAAATAAATCTGCTTGCTTCATAGATAGCTCCTCTCAAGTATTCACTACAGTGGTGAAAATCTAACACAGCAGTCACCATCCAATCAGCCACAACAGTTACTCTTTGTTGTGATTTTTTTCTTTTCTTTTTTTTCTTCTTCTTCTTTTTTTTTTTTTTTTGACAGGCAGAGTGGACAGTGAGAGAGAGAGAGACAGAGAGAGAAAGGTCTTCCTCTTGCCGTTGGTTCACCCTCCAATGGCCGCCGCGGCCTGCGCGCTGCGGCCAGCGCACCGCACTGATCCGATAGCAGGAGCCAGGTGCTTCTCCTGGTCTCCCATGGGGTGCAGGGCCCAAGCACTTGGGCCATCCTCCACTGCACTCCCTGGCCACAGCAGAGAGCTGGCCTGGAAGAGGGGCAACCGGGACAGAATCCGGCAGCTGACCGGGACTAGAACCTGGTGTGCCGGCATCACAAGGCAGAGGATTAGCCTACTGAGCCGTGGCACCGGCCTCTTTTTTTTTTTTATTAATATAAACAGAATAGACTTCATGTATTTCATTGGTACAATTCTAAGAAGATGAGAATATATTCCTCCCTCCCTCCATCCATCTGCCCGTCCATCCTTCCTTCCTTCTTTTCCTTTAATTTTTGCAAAAATGTAACTTTACTCAATTCTACAATCACAGGCTTAATGC